ACACACAACAGCCCCCACTACACACTAGAACAGCCCCCCCATATGCAGAACAGCCCCCATTACACACCGGAACAGCCAGGGTTCACATCCCCCAATCAGATGGTCCTACTTTGCATTTGCTTGTTTTTAAAATAAAACTGTTGTTACCTTCATGGTGCATCTGAGTGTGGGAAGCAGTGGCGCCTGGCACTCATGAGAGAGCAAGGTGAGGAAGGAACCCTAAGGTGCTGGCAGACATGGGAGGCAAAGGTTTGGGCAAGCGCCATCGGTTGGCAAATCCAGACAGACAAGCCAAGCCCAGAGTCTTAGGAATTCTGCAGAGAACAGACGAAGCCCAGGGGCCCAGGTCTGAAAGGTGAGCAAAAGTCAGCCAAGCCAGGGACTCGGTGAGCGGGCTGCCCGGGAAAGGGGTGGCCTCCGGTCATGGCAGGCCCAGCTGGGCAAGCACAGAGCTCCCCTTTCCGCAGGACTTGAGACACTTCCTCTTCCACACAGGGCTCGCAGAGAACAGCCTGGACTCGCTGGCTTTCGAGTCCCTGATCCCCAAGCCCATCCTGCAGCGCTACGTCTCCCTGCTGGTGGAGCACCGGCGCATCATTCTCTCCGGCCCCAGCGGCACCGGGAAGACGTACCTGGCCAACCGGCTGTCCGAGTACCTGGTGCTTCGGGAGGGACGAGAGCTGACAGACGGGGTCATCGCCACCTTCAACGTGGACCACAAGTCCAGCAAGGTGAGGAGATCTTTCCGAAGCTGCTGCCCAGCCAGGGCTCACCTTTGGGCCCTTTCAGAACTGTTGATGTCACCCCACCCTGATGGGAAAGCAGCCTTTTCTGTACACTCACTCTGGTGGTTATGAGAGCCCAGTGAAGGTCAGGATGGGGCTAGAAGGAAGTAAGGCTTTAACCCAAAACTTCCCACTGAATTTCACCTGTAAGTCAATCTAGTTCATTTCTTGCTTCCCCACATGTTCAGTGCTAATAGTTCCTTAAGTCTACTTCAATTTACCAAGAATTTATCATGTGCCTGGTGATGCTATTGTTTTTCCAAAACGAAACCCTTTTTGGAACAAGAATGATAGTTCTTATTGACAGACTGCCCCATGACCACAAGCTGGCCGCCTCACAGCTCACAGCTATTCGCCATGAAGGGACCAGCTGCTGCTACCCCCACTTCACAGAGGAGGAAACTGAGGCCTGAGGCAGATGGTCATGTGTCTGAGGCCACTCGGGCGGTACTGAGAAGTGGACTGGAGCGCAAGTCAAAGCCTTGGACTCCAGAGCCAGCAAATAGGCTTGGCCCTGCCTCACAGGGAGCAATGGAGACACTGGACAGTCTGACCTAGTCCCAGCCGCGGGTTGGGAAGGGGTTTCTCACACTTGTTTGCTATTCGCACAGTGGAGTTAATGATAGTTCCCTCTGGCTGGCCCTCTGCAAAGGGGCCAGAGTCCAAGGTGAACTGGAAAGGACTCTTCCACCTTAGGAATCACCTGGCATCCCTGCCGATGGGGCTTCCTCACCCTCATTCCCTGGTGCCCTGTTCCAATAGGTTGTGTGGGCCGGGAACCTGGGCCATTCACAGGTTTCCAGGTGACTTGGATGTGAGGACAGGACTGGAGAGAAGTGGTCCCAGCTTCCGAGTCGAGAGCTTCGGTGTGAGCTGAGGCGGGCATTCTCTCCAGGACCAGTGAATGAAGGACCCCTGGCTGGGCACCTCGTGCAGAAGGCATCTCACCCTCTGTACCACGAAGGCCTGAGTAGGGGCGGGAGGCCCAGGAGCCCTGTCATTGTAAGGCTGAGGCCACGAACCCAGATGGAAAGGAGCTCAAAGAAGGAAAAATTACTAGTCACTCAAAAAGTTGGGCTGAAGCATTGTGACTTATGCGGGAGACGTGGGCATGTGTGTGTTCATAGGAGGCGGCGGCTAGCATGCTGGAGTGTCGGGTGTGAGGAGCACACTGAACAGGCACCGAGTCTGAATCCAGCCCGCTACTTGCCCTCTCTGCAATCTCAGGGCAGTCACCTGACTTGGGCGTGCCTCAGTTTCCCTCTCTGTAAACGGGAGCTACGCATAGTACCCACCCCAGAGGGTTGTGGGCTACAGAAGTCCGGCTGTGTGAGGCCCTCAGAGCTGTGCCCGGCTCTAGGCCATGCCAGCGTGATGGTGACATCACCAGGCAGTCATCCTGGGTTCTCTGGCCGGTCCTTAACTCGCCATTTCAGCCCTTTCCCCTTCTACACCATTATTCTTCTCTTCCTTTTTAGAACACAGGCCTTCCCCGGGCACACTGAGCTGTGTTCTGGCCCCAGCTCCAGCCAATCCCCCAGCCATTCTTCACAGTTCAATTCAGATCTCACCCTTTCACCCAGACCTCCCAAGGCCCCTGTGCATGCAGACCCACCTCCCCCTGCACTGTTGGATGTCTGCCTGCCACAGCGCTTCTCAGCAGCACTTAGGGGGATGCTGTGTGATATTATTCATGGAGGGCTTCTGCATACACGGCCCTCAGGCAGGCGCCGTGGAAGAGCACCTTATACGGAACGTATGCAGCTTACACAGGTGTGTAAGGCACCTCTGGAGCCCTTTGGAGCTTCCTGGAAGGTTGACAGAATCAGAACTATCCAAGAAAAATGGCGACACAGATAGAGAAGTGGTAGAGCAGGGATACAGAACCGGGCCTGGGCACCTCCACGCTGCTGTGCTCTGGCCCTCGCTGAAGGAGTTCTGTGACCTCGTGAAAGCCAGAAGGACGCAGGCCTTCCCCATCCTGTCCTCCCCGCACCACCCAAGCCGACCCATGCAGCAGCCAGGCATGCTGCCCATGGAGGGCCTGCCCCTTGCGTTGGCCTGGGCGATGTGCAGGCTCTGAGCATGTGCTCTTCATCGGCTGCATCCCGTCCTTCCCTGGCCCATGCAGGAATTGCGCCAGTACCTGTCCAACCTTGCCGACCAGTGCGCCAGTGAGAACAACGCTGCGGACATGCCTCTCGTCATCATCCTGGACAACCTGCACCATGTCAGCTCCCTGGGCGAGATCTTCAATGGGCTGCTCAGCTGCAAGGACCACAGATGGTAAAGGCCAGCTCCGGGCCCTGGTCCCGGGAGAACGGCCACAGGGGAGGTGTGCTGCACAGCCCTGTGCCCATGCATGGCTGGGGTCAGCGTGGGGGGGCCGGGAGGCAGACAGCCAGCTGTTTGGACGGACCCTGTAAGCCCGTCCGGAGCTGGGCTTGCCTCACAAAGTCCTCTTCTTTCCTCCGTGTCGCCCATAGCCCTTACATAATTGGCACAATGAACCAGGCTACCTCTTCCACTCCCAACCTGCAGCTCCATCACAACTTCAGGTAAGGTGTCACCCTCTGAGTACCAGTTCTGTGCCAGGCATCGTGTGGAGCATTTTTCCCAGCTTCACTCTTCATTCTCACAATAGCTCCATGCAGTTGCATTTCTCATTCGCAGCTTGCAAATGGGGAGACTGAGGCTGGGAGAATAAGATGCCTCGTGTGAGGTCACGAAGTCCTGGGGTAGCAGAGACAGGGAGGCAGCTCCGGGCAGGAGCAGAAGGCCACTCACCTCCCTGGCACATCAGGGGCGCGTCTCTCGGGGGCCTAGGTGAACATGAGCAATGAAGGCCCTTGCTTTGTCCCCAAGAACTGTCTGGGGATCTGTGGGCCTTTGCCTCCAGCTGCCATGTATCCTCTGCCCCAGCACCACGCGGGGCTCCCTGCTGGGTGTGGGAAGAGCTGCTGCACTGTCATGCCTGGATGGATTGCCACTTGCCTTGTGGCGCCATCGCTAAACGCCCTTTGCCCCACTTTGACCCCTTGGTGACCCCAGCACTCCTCGCCTCCTGCTGGCCCTTAGATGAGGATGAGAATCGTGTCCTGGGATGGCACCCTCGCCCATTCTCACCGGCCACTCTGCAGGCATCCCTGAGGGAGATCTCTGGGAAGTGGGCCTCAATTGTCATTCCCTGGGAAATGTGACCTCCTCCAGGCCCCTGAGATCGTGGCTCCCCTCCTGTCCCCATCTTGTCCACACTTTCTCCTAAAGATGCTTCAAGTCCTTCCTCTTTCTCCTTCCCCCGCCACTGCCATGCCGCATCATCTCCCTGGGCACTACTGCCTGCAGAGTGGCCTCATCCTCCGTGCCAGTGGCAGCTGGCATGAGCGTCCTAGTATTCAAATCTGACCATAAACCCTCCCCCCTGAAGTGCTTTAGTGGTTCCTCATCGCCTCCAGAATGCGTCCAGGTTCCTTGGGTTGGCAGGTCAAGTCTAAAGTCTGGTTACATGGCCTCTGGCAGTTCCCCAAACACCCACCCCTTTTCCCATGTCTCTGCAAATGCTTCAGCGAGCTCTCCCACCTGCCACCCTACCCCCTGCTCCTGCCTTCGCTTATGTGGCTGCTCCATCCATTCTTCCAGTCCCAGCCCAGACAGCCCCTCCTCCGAGGAGCCTTCCCTGATTCCCTGGGCTTCATCATGCCTCAATTCCTCTGTTTGCTTATCTACTCCCTCGGCAAGACTGTGAGCTCTTGGGAACAGGGACGAATGTGTCTGTCATTGTTATAGTTCTATGGCCCAGCACAGGGCCTGACACAAGCACAAGAGGCAGCAAACTCAGTGGTTAGAGCTCAGACTTTGGAGCTGCACCGTCTTGGTTCTATCCTTAGCTCTTCTATTAACTTGCTTCTTTGATCTTGGACATACTCTCTCGGCGCCTTCACATTTCCGACTGTAAAATGGGGATGGCGATAATATCTGTGTCATGGGGTGGCTGTGAGGAAAGGTGAATTAATATACATGCAGTGTTTGCACAGGGAGTCAGCATACACACCATCTGTCTAGTTCTCATGCGCGTTGAGTCTTGAGGTTAGCCTTCGTTTCTTCACCGTCGTAATCATTGAAAACCTGATGTCCCCCAGGTGGGTGCTTTGTGCCAACCACACGGAGCCCGTGAAGGGTTTCCTTGGCCGGTTCCTGAGGCGGAAGCTCATGGAGACGGAGATCAGTGGGCGGGTGCGGAATGTGGAGCTGGTGAAAATCATCGACTGGATTCCCAAGGTCTGGCATCACCTCAACCGCTTCCTGGAGGCTCACAGCTCCTCAGACGTCACCATAGGTAGGTGGGCAGCCAGGCAAGAACGGTGGGTGGGCTGGCTCAGGGCAGCGCTGAGCTCAGCTCCTCGGAGACTGTCCGGGGGCCCTGGCCAGGGCAGCACCCTGCAGGCCCAAGTCAGCTGGACTCTGTTCTGTTCATGTGGACAGAGAAGGAGGCAGAGGGGACAGTCCCAGCCCCAGGCAGACCCCCCACTGCCTCGCCCACATCCCTTGCTGTGTCTCTGCCCCTCTTGCCTTGCCCAATGCCCTGGGGCTGATCAGCAGCAAGAGATGGTCCAGCCTGGGCCGATGTGGAAACTGCCAGCTCAGTGAAGTGCCCAACCACGAATGCTCTGCTTTAAAAATAAAGTAAAACGTTACCAACATTCCTGGAGCTTACAAATTTAGAACAGAGGGCAAAAAAGGTCATTGATCATCCCACCCTCCTGACATGATTATTTTAATTTGAGCTGATGTTTTTCCCTTGTCCACACATAGATATTTTACTTAGTTGCCATCAGAGTATACCTACAGCACGTTCATTTCTTTTTCACCTCACATTGTCTTGTAAGCATCCTGAGTTGCTGCTCCAGTTTTATGATTATTTTTAAAGGCTGGAAAAGACTCACATGCGGGTACGCCATCACTCGCGGCACCATTTCTGTTTTCTTGGACATTTAGTGTGTTTGCATTTTCAAAGGTCAGGACTGATAATACCATGAGGAACATCTTTCTCCGTAAAGCCTTTCCTCTCTTTTGGGTGATTTCCTGGGGCAGAGAGATCCTAGGGGTCAGGAGGAGGGGTGTTGGAGAGCCCACGTGTCCTGCTCTGTGCCCGCCACCGGCAGGTGGACTTTCTGCTGTCACTCAGAAATTGGGAGGGATGCTTGGATTGTGGCTTCTCCTGGCTTCTCCCCAACTCAGCTCTGATGGATTTTCGTTTGGTCCCCAGGCCCCCGGCTCTTCCTGTCATGCCCCATCGACGTGGATGGCTCCAGGGTGTGGTTCACCGACTTGTGGAACTACTCAATTATCCCCTATCTCCTGGAAGCCGTCAGGGAAGGACTCCAGGTGAGACACGGCAGAATGAGAGGGGAGGCAGGGGGCCGTTCTAGTGACCAGATGAGGGGGCTTTATCTCCTCCTCCGGGATTCTGACTGACATGGGGTGACAGCCCCTCCCTCACCTGTGAGGTCAGCAGTCTGGCACAGTGCAGGGACACACTTGGCTGTAAGTCCTGGCTCTGCCACCTGTAAGCTGTGTGACCCCAGGCAAGGCGTTCAGCCTCTCTGTGCCGCGGTGCCCTCGTGGATAGAAAAGGAGAATACAGTCCTGTGCCACAAAGACTTGTTGCAAAGGGTAAATGCATCCTGGCTGTGATGCCCTCAGCATAGTGAGTGCAAAGAAACGGAAGCAAGCGTGTGTAGCACTTCACAGCTTACAAAGTACTCTCATATCTGCTATTTGGTTCAAGCCCTGCATTTGTCCTGGAATATAGAGATTTTTTTTGTGTGTGTCTACATTTTTCAAAGGAGAAGAGTTGAGTCTCAAAGGAGAATAAGTGACTTGCCAGGGGTCATAAGAGTCAACCTTGAAAAATCTGGGATTTGAGTCCACGCCTCTGGCTGGAATCCCAGGTTCTCCGCCCTCGGGCGGCCATGGCACTCCCTCCCTGCCTGGGACCCCTCCCCGGTGACCTTGGGCTCATGAGGCAGCAAGTCCCATCTCACTCAGCCCAGGGTCAGCTCCAGCAGCTCAGCCGTAGAAGGAAGTTGTACTGTGGAGCCTGGAGGCAGCCTGAGAAGCTCTGGGCTTGGCTCCCGGGGTTCCGTGATGAGCATGTGTCACGCACAGCTGAACAGTCAGCAACCAGGTTAGCAGCCAGTTCCCAGGGCTTCTCTGTTCCTCGGTCCTGGGCATCGGGAGACACAAGACGCTGCCGTAGGCCTATGGTCACAGAGGGTGCATGCCCCACACGTGCGTGTGACAGTACAAGGGCTGTGTGTCATTTTCATGCATTTGGCTGAGCCTAGCGAGTGTCTGACTGCTTGTCGGTAACATGCAGCCGCACTGAGGGTCTTCAGAGGCACTCAGACAAGAACTTGAACGGGCAGGAAACCAGAGCCACGCCTCCATCTCCTAAGACATACAGACAGGAAAAGTCATCCCTTCCTGGTGCTGGGAGGTCATTTGAAGAACAATCTTTCCAGAGCCTGGGAGCCACCAGGGGAGGCGGCTGGAGTTAGCATTTTACCAGTCTGCTCAGAAATGAGCCCCTGGTCTCAGCCCTCCGACCTCATTGCCCTGCTGGGCCCTGGAGGCCCCAGGGAACCTGCTGATTCACGGGAAACCTGGTGTGTTCTTATGCCTCTAGTTTGGAAGGAAAGTTTGCCGACTGTTTTTTGAGGGCTTGCTGCTTGCCAGGCACGGTGCTGGGGGCCTGACATGCCTCTCGTGTAGCGTTAACAGTTCAGAGCACCTGACAGGTGAGGAGACCACGGCCCCGGGAGCTTTGCCCCAGTTGACTCTGGGGTGTGATGAGCCAGCGTTGGAGCCCAGTCTAGCTGACTCCTCGGTTACTTCCCTGACTTGCACACTGTCTGAACTTCCCCAGAAGCCTCAGTTGGTTCGGGGAGCCAAGTACTGTGGTTCAGGTAGTGGAGTTCTACGTCAGATTTCACTTGACAAAAGGATCCCTCTATTTTAAAAAGTTTTAAATTCCTTACTCTCCTCCGTGTCACCTTGATTCCATGCTCACTATGTGCTGAGCACCGGGGGGGTGTGGGGGGGTGCATTTAGTCCTCACTTGGCCCTGCTGGGTGAGTAGAGAGGCCATGAAGGCAGCACATTGGTTCAGAGTGGGTGAGCTCTTGGCCGAGGTTAGAAGCTACGAAGAGATCGAGGCCCCAGGGTGGACTCTGGCAGGGCTGCCTGTGGTGGGGGGAGGGGGACCAAGGCTCCTGCTGAGATCAGGCCCACCACTGACCGCTAGACAGTCCCTCCACCAGAGGAATTGTGGCATCGCCCCCTAGTGGATACCAGGCACCTTTGCAAGTCTTGACTCCGGAGTCTTTTCCCAGTGGGGTGTGGGTGTGTAACTGCCTGGAGGCTCTTCCCGAATGCATGCCGTGGTGAAAGCAAATGTCCTATTTGTCTGTCTGTCTATCTACTGTCTCTGCTGCTGCTTAGCGCTGCCACAGGCTCTGCACTGGGGCCAAGGCGCTTCACAGTGTTTCCTGTACTTGCCACGGTCCTTACCCAGCCATTCACCACCCGGACTGGAACATGTCCAGCGACAAGTGGGGAGGCTTGTAAAATACTTACTGTTCTTGCTGATGCTGCTCGCATTTGCCAGCTGCACATTTGTCCGATGAGTCAGGCCCCAGCCCTGTTCCCCTCCGGAGTTGTCACTGTAAACACTTGCCAAAGTGTCTAGTCTACAGAGTAACTCGAAAGGTCTTTGTGTCGTCGTCGTCTCTCCCCACCTCCCACAGATTACCCGGTTGCTCTGAGACTGGGGCAAGTCTCCCTTCTCTAGGGTACCCTGTGCTCTGAAAAGTTTGGGCCCAAAGAGTGTTTTTCAGGCTGTCTTCCGTGGAGCCCAAAAGTTTCTCAGATTCTTCAGTGATGGGGTCAGGGGAGAAGGGCACATATTTGAAAACCAGCAGGCCAGACTCCCTCTGAGGACTGGCTGACCTCCCTCTTCCAGCCTCTGTGGTCCTGTCGCCCTGAGCGTCTCCTCCAGGCGGGAGGGCGGAGACAGAAGCAGGAGCTGTCAGAAATGGGGCATGGGTGCAGCCTCACCCACGTGAAGTCTGGCCCGGGCAAAGCAGGCCAGTTCCACGGGGAAGGCCCTTGGAGGGAGGAGTTTCTAAAAATTACAGGAATGTTCCTAATCTGGAACAGCCTTTTTTGATTCCAAATACTCCGAAATGTTTGTGTTCCCTTTCTCTCTGACACAGATGCGTACGCACACGCACTAGCCCCCCTCACAGAATCCTGTCTGAGACTCACCGCTAAAATCGTGTTATCATTAAAGCTTAAAGAACGGAGTGTGGAGGCATGGTAGCAGTTTTACAAAATTAAGTGATAATATCGTTTTCCCTTTGAAGAGCAAATTAGTTAATATGGAAAAATTTGAGAAATATATGGGCGGGGAGAAGCACCACCCACACGTAACCTCTGTTAACAGTCTGCTGTTTTGAAAGTGACCAGTCTGCTGTTTGGAAAGTTTACAGAGGGACTGTGAAAGTCAGACCCTCCTCAAGAAATGAAGTTTTACCAGAACAGGGTCATTTGTGACCTCTGCCTGTGGTGTCGGTGGCCAGCGGAAGGAATTCTCCGGGTGGTTGCATGCAGGAGGGTGCTGGAGCTGGTGGTAATGCAGGAGGGTGCTGGAGTTGGTGGTAATGGCTGGGGAACAAGTGGGACTGGAGGACGGTCGGCTCGCCGTTCGTTCGTAGCCGCGAGCTGGTGGTAATGCAGGAAGGTGCTGGAGTTGGTGGTAATGCAGGAGGGTGCTGGAGCTGGTAGTGATGCAGGAAGGTGCTGGAGTTGGTGGTAACACAGTAGGGTGCTGGAGCTGGTAGTAATGCAGTATGGTGCTGGAGCTGGTGGTAATGCAGGAGGGTGCTGGAGCTGGTGGTAATGCAGGAGGGTGCTGGAGCTGGTGGTAATGCAGGAAGGTGCTGGAGTTGGTGGTAATGCAGGAGTGTGCTGGAGCTGGTGGTGACACCAGCTAGATCTAGCTAGGGTGCTAGATCTGGCAGTAATGCAGGAGGGCGCTGGAGCTGATAGCCAGCCCCTGTTTCCAGCTCTGCATTCAGTGAGGTCGTGTTGGTAGTCTGGCATTGGCTGTGCTGGGACTGTTTCTACCACGGAAGCTGGCCGCCATTCAGGTCGATCAGCCAGGCTCAGAGTGAGGGCAGCAGTGAGTCGGTGGCAGAGCTGAGGCGCGAGCCCGTCAGCCTGACTCCAGAGCCGGTGTTCCTGACACCTGAGTCATGCTGCCTTCGGTCTTAGCACATCCACTCAGCACCTTGGATGACCCCCTTACAGTAGCATTCTGGAAGTGGAATTACCCCGTCACGGAGGCATAACGCTGCGTTCGGGGAACTTTTCGGAAGGCTGCAAAACAGGCTGCAGAGGAGGTCTGAGCCCCCTTCTAACCATTCCTTCCTGGCCTCCCCTTAGCTCTACGGAAGGCGGGCCCCCTGGGAGGACCCTGCCAAGTGGGTGATGGACACCTACCCCTGGGCGGCCAGCCCGCAGCAACACGAGTGGCCTCCCCTGCTGCAGCTCCGGCCCGAGGATGTCGGCTTCGACGGCTACTCTCTGCCTCGGGAGGGCTCGGCCAGCAAGCAGATGCCCCCCAGCGACGCTGAAGGAGACCCGCTGGTGAGTTCTCAGCTCCCGGAGCAGCTCAACCATCACCGAGCACTTACTGGTTACTGGGAGCAAGGCCCGCTGGAAACAGGCGACTGAGCCCCAGCCTTGCTTTGGGTGACTGGGCCCATCCCAAGATTAGGGACACGTTTGCCAGGATTTTCTTCTATGGTTTTAGTTTTTCGCTAATGTCTTGAACCCCTCTGAAATGGTCTGTGGCAGAAGGTCAAAGGTGAGAATTTAATTGTCCTTGTGCCACTCTGCCCTCTGGGTTCAGTGCCACCTTTATCATGTGCTGTCCTGCTCCAGAGACCTCTCCCCCAGTAACAGCAGGGGCAGGGCTGGGTGAGGAGCAGAAGCCCAGGCCAGCAATCGCGCAGGCAGGGAGGGGCTTGCAGGGAGGAGGCCTGAACATGGGCCCCGTGGCCAGCGAGGTGAGTTAGGTCTTTACATTGTCTGAGCTGCTTATTGACGCTGTCATTGCTGAAGCCATAAAGATCCTTTAAGCAGAACCTGGGCCCGTGGTGGTAACGCTGCAGTTCAAGTAAGTCCTCATGTAACCTCCTCAGTAGATCCTGTGACTTTAAGTGAAACCACATGGAATAGAACCACGTATATCAGTTACCATAGGCTAATTGATATAAGTAAGAATCAGGGCCCTGGGGCCTCTCACCTATAGCATAAGGAAAGGATGTTATTCGAGGACTTGCTGTACTCTCTCTGCCAATATGAGACGCCTGCATAGTCATCCTGCAGAATGAGACCTAAAGAAGCAACTGCCCCATGAAATGTGGTGAAAGCAAATGTGCCAGAGCCTGCCCTGGTGAGATACCGTTCTCAGGCCTTGCCGGGAGCCCTGCGCGCCCGTGGCAGCTAAGGCAAAGGGAAAAGCACATCAGAGAAATAGCTCACATTACCTAGTGAAAGGAAATGTTCAGAAGTGATGCGGCAGGATGGAAAGACAACCAGTGCTGACTAATTGATTTGCTGGATTTAAAAAAGAACGGTGCTTTGGGTCGCCTGCCGTCCTCCAGACTGGAGGGGTGGAGCACTGGTCCTGCTGAGACCTTTTTTAACAGGAACTATATTTTAAGTGGATGTAACTGTTTTACAGAGAAAAAGATCAAACTTTAAGAAGCCATTTCTAACGTTAACCGTTGCTCAAATCCAGAGTCACGGGGACATTTTTGTGGGTGCGAGCTCATGAGGTCTTAGTAAAAATAGAATGCGCGGCGGCTGGAGGGAAGAATGGCGGCTCGCTCCCAGACATCCTTTGCTCAGCCAGGACTCTCTGTATCACTGATTGAACACAGAGGGTGTTTAGGTGACACCTGAGGGTTCCCTCCAACCCCAGGCCCCCAGAGTGACAAGGTAGATATGGCTGTTCCTCCCAAGCCCATGCCCTCTGCCCAGGCTATCCATCTCGTTTACTAGTCTCTCTTCTCAGGGGACTGAGACCTCCGAGAGAACAGGCCACACCTGTGTGTATGTGGGACCACGTGCTGTGGGTAGAAGTGATGAGTGAATAAGTAATCTCAGCTGCAAAGGGTGGTTGACTGCATTTGAACTCCCCCCCCCACCCCCGACGATCTTCCCTGACGATCTGTCAGGGAAGATTTAAAAACACAACCTTGAAACTGTTATCTTTAAGGTGGTGGTGGTGGTGGTGGTGGTGGTGATGGCACATCATGTTCATTGAGCACTTACTATGTGCGAGGCCCTAGTCTCAGGGCCCCATACACATTATGTCATTCTGTTCCCTATTTGAGTCCTAGGGGATAGGAGCTGCTGTTCTCTCCAATCTATAGACCAGGCACTGGTGGCTCAGATACATGAGGTAATTTGTCCAAAGATTCTGGAATTGAAATCCAGGCCTCTGTTTTCCGTGGCTCTGCTTGTTCCTGGCGCTGCCCTCCCCTTCCCCATGAAGGCTGTGACAGCCGCTGGGGCACAGATGAGCTTGAGGCTCATCGAAGGGGGCATCCCATGCTTTGGAAGTCAGCGGCACTGATGAGCCTGTTCCAGAAGCAGGGATGCTTGACTGGCACCTTTACCCAGACTTGAGTGAGATGTGCCCCTCCCAAATAAAAATAAGTGTCAGATTGATGGGGGACTTTCCATTTTGTTCTCAGTGCTCTACATATGTTAACTCAATCCACACCACAATGTTATAGGGCAGGTGTGATTATTACTCACATTTGACCAATAAAGAAACCGAGACACAAAAGAGGTTAAGGTACTTGTCCAAGGTCACGCAGCTATAAGTGGTGCAGCCGGGATTTGAACCCTGGAAGCCTGGCCCAGAGCCCGTGTGGGTTGCATTCCCAAGGTGAGTCTGGCGGAGCAGGCGTGAGCTCCCAGGAGGCCAGGGCGGGTGGGCGGCGGACTGGCCAGAAGGTCGCTCATGCTCTCTGCCTTTTTCAGATGAACATGCTGATGAGGCTGCAGGAGGCAGCCAACTACTCCAGTCCCCAGAGCTACGACAGCGACTCCAACAGCAACAGCCATCACGACGACATCCTGGACTCGTCCCTGGAGTCAACTCTGTGACAGGGTCCGGCCATGGAGTCTGCCCACCTCCTCCTCGCCTCGCCCCACTGCGCCTCCTTCCTCTGCACCATCCTGAAGATGCCCTCCTGAGCCAGCCCAGCCGCAGCATGAGCGCTGCAGGAACACCAAGCCCCCGGTCCTCCACCCAGACCTGGGTGCAGCCATCCCAGGCCAGCCCCCTGGGACTGCTTCCTTCCACAGTGAGAACTGCACTATCTTCGGTTTCATTTAAATCATTGCTCTTGCCTTGTTGCTGTGACCTCCCCAAGTCACTGAAGATACTTCTCGGGAAAGGACCATCACCGTTGAAACGAAAAGGGTTAAACATGGAAACCCCACTTGAAGTTCTGAAACCAAACAGCATCCTGCCACGAGCTGCCCAGAGACAGAGAGACTGGAGCAAATCTTGAAACCCCGACAGCACGGCTTCCCCTCACTCAGACCCTGCCAGGTGGGTCTGGCCGCCAGCACCCTCATGTCAACGCCAACTCACCCAACCGGCCACAGAGAACTGGTGCTAACGAGGCACTTGCTTTGGTCACACAACAACCGTCAGAGCTACGCACAGGGAAACCTTAGGAGAAAACACCTCGTGCTCTCTGCTCTGTTCTGTTTTCTAAATGGTGCTCTCCTTCCCCGAGAGGTATTTTGCCTGTTCCAGTCCAGCCACACCTCCCCCCGTCACCTCCGGTGAGCCCACAAGTGTGCGTGCAGGAGTGAGAATGTGCCCAAGCGGACCTGCCAGGGCAGACAGCATGCGTCTGTCTCCTTAGAAATGAATCAGGTTTCTTTTCTGCAAACACTGTGTCCAGTGAGAATTGGTCTCCTTTGGAGAACTGATGACCCCTTTGAGAATGAGGTTGAATTTCTCCCTTTCTGACTCTTTGATTTTGAAGATTT